TAAGGGTAATTGTTTCATGATATATTTCAGCTATCATTTGTGACTTTCAGCAAGTTGCATTCCCTGTTGACTATATTGAACAGTGCACAATAATGAATTAACATATAAGTTTATACATGAGCTTAAGAATGATCGAATGGACTAATTTTATTTTTATCTACTGTACCCACTTATCAATCGATGGGCATTCAATTCCCTTTTCAAATTACTTAATCGAATATGAAGTCACATGAACGAAGAAGTTTGTCTGACGTGAAAATACGTAGTCCCATATCTCACGGCTACATGGACACACACAGTGTACTAGTCTTCACAACATTTTAATGTTTGAAACTACGTTTTCAGAAGAATGAAATTTATAAGTTTTAACTATAATTCACAATAAGCATATCTAAAAGTAAGTCGACACGCAGCTCATTTTATGAAGGAATGTCAAACTGCCACTACTGCTAGTTTGTACTTTATTGTCGGCGAAAAACTGATTCAAAATAAGGGAGCTAAGATTTGATTTTTAGGGGGGGGAGGCTAGAGTGAAATTTGAAAAAGGCATGACAGGAGTTTTGAAAAAAAAGGCAGGATGGGCAACTTGCCAAAAAGAAAAGATAGGATGGTAATTTATTTAAAACAAGTCAGGATAAATTAATATCTAATTTGAAGTTCTATTTTAATATCATCTGAGCAAGAACTACAGGAGAATAGCATAGCATTTGTCTTGTTAGGATTAAAATCAATAAGCCAATCTTTAGACCATGCTGAGATTTGTTCTAAGTCGCTATTTAAGACATCTTCTATCGTGTAAGGACTATTACTTAAATAAGAAAGGGATGTTTCATCAGCACACAATCCAGTTAGACTTATCAAATTACAAGCTATGTCATTTACATTAATAAGGAATTATCACAGTAGGGGACCTAATACAGAGCCTTGTGCACTCCTGCATTAGTATTCTCAAAAGGCAAATATAAACTTTAAAAAAACGCTTTCTTGTCTATTTGAAATATTATAACTAATTAAGTGATTAAATACGTTTTTAAGTACATTTTTTTTAAATATATGCCTACTGCTGATAATAATGTGATTGGTCTATAATTGGAAATCAGTTCTCCGATTTTGAATATATATATATATATATATATATATATATATATATGCGCCAAGTCAACACATTTTAAAAGAATTTGTTTACATAAAGCACAAATAAATTTACATACATTGTCAGATCAAAATATCTTAAAAATCCCAGTCCAGTGATACCGTGTATATTCTACTGACTAAACCATATCGATAGTTTTACATTCGTACTTGTTACGTAATAAGATCTGTGTCCAGGTAAAAAAATAACCAGCAGGTGGTATATATTCTAAAATGTTTAGCGCCTTCCATTATACATCTGACGATGACATTTAGATTTAGGGCCATTCTGTTTGCACAAACAAATCAAAGCGCGAAAGCGCTGTAAAGGCAGTTAATTACAGGTTGTGTGTATTTTAAGTCCACTTATATCATTATCTTGCATAGTACATTGTACTTATCAGAGGTGGCTTTCAGTATTTAAGATTTAGAGTTCTCTAATGATATTGAACAAGTTTTATGAATGTCATATTCTGAGCACTATATGAAGGCGATTGTTCTCACTTGTTTATGAACTAGTGCATTATGTCCAGTTTGTACCTTTTTTATCTATGTTTATAGTCAAATACTGTTTAAAATTGTTTGGCATTTTATTTTTAGTAATAAGTAAATGTTATCAACTGTATTTTATTCAACTTTGCAAATGTGGTTTGTGACTGGTAAGTACAATGTATGGATGATAGTTGTTTCATTGGAAATCATAACACATCTCCTTATTTATATAATGATCTATATTCAACGACCTCAGGTACAAAAAAAATGTATGTAACTAAACTATGATGGGAAACCTTTGACTTCTTTCTTTTATATAAACTTTTGATTTGGTACCATAGAACTATGTAGAATAAATGTACATTGAAACATGTCAACTCTTTCAATGACAATACTTTTTTTAGAAACTATAACTCCAAGCAAAATTATATTTCCAAGTATAAAGTCATTTATGAATGAAACAAGAGTGCACATGCTGAAATGTCTCGCCTTCTTTACTAATCATTGATATTATGTTGATAGTCCTAAATATAAAGCTTTATTACAACTGTCACATAAACTTAACATTAACCAAGTAAACTAAGCATTGACCAATGAACCAAGAAAACGAGGTCAAGGTCAGATGAACCATGCTAGGCAGGCATGTACAGCTAACAATTCTTCCATACAACAAATATAGTTGACCTATTGCTTATAGTTTAAGAAAAACAGACCAAAACACAAAAACTTATAACTGAGCAACTGACCTTGAAAATGAGGTCAAGGTAAAAAAAAAACCTGTGTGACTGACAAATAGATCATAAAATATTTCCATATACCAAATACAGTTGAACTATTGCATATAGTATTAGAAAAAAGACCAAAACTCATAAACTTAACTTTGACCACTGAAACATGAAAATGAGGTCAAGGTCAGATGACACCTGCCAGCTAGACATGTACACCTTACAATCATTCCATACACCAAATATAGTAGACCTATTGCATACAGTATAAGAAAAACAGACCAAAACACAAAAACTTAACTATAACCACTGAACCATGAAAATGAGGTCAAGGTCAGATGACACCTGCCAGTTGGACATGTACACCTTACAGTCCTTCCATACACCGAATATACTAGACCTATTGCTTATAGTATCTGAGATATGGACTTGACCACCAAAACTTAACCTTGTTCACTGATCCATGAAATGAGGTCGAGATCAAGTGAAAACTGTCTGACGGGCATGAGGACCTTGCAAGATACGCACATACCAAATATAGTTATCCTATTACTTATAATAAGAGAGAATTTAACATTACAAAAAATATTGACTTTTTTTTCAAGTAGTCACTGTACCATGAAAATGAGGTCAAGGACATTGGACATGTGACTGACGGAAACTTCGTAACATGAGGCATCCATATACAAAGTATGAAGCATCCGGACCTTCCACCTTCTAAAATATAAAGCTTTTAAGAAGTTAGCCAACGCCGCCGCCGGATCACTATCCCTATGTCGAGCTTTCTGCAACAAAAGTTGAGGCTCAACAAAAAGGAGTTCTTAATTAAGAAATAAACTGATTCGCTGAGCGCAGCTGGATACACCTGCAGAGGTCCAACCCTGAACAGTTGGGGCAAAAATGGACACAATATTCAAGCTTGATACAGGTCTGAATTTGGATTGTAATTAAATATTTGACATATTATAGTTTCTGAATAAATGTAGTCACAGAACTTGAAATCGATTATATGAATTGAATTTATATTCAATTAAAGATTTCTTGCTGTTGTGCAATACACTGTGCTGTGGCGCAATACTTAATAAATCTGTTGCCAGACTATAAACAAATAAAGTTCAATTTCTTCTCAATGTCATATTTGAAATTTATAAAAATCAATAGGGAGATTACATCAATAGCTATAAATAATTCACCAAAGTTTCATGCGAACTGCTTAAAACATTTTTGAGTTGTTGTCCAAAAACTGGAAAATCCCCGCTTTTTTAATGAATAAAACCCCATAACTCAGAAATGTAAAATCTAAAATTTATAAAATTCTAAAGGGAGCTTACGGATTGATAATTTAGTCTTAGATGCAAGATTGTTTTATCAGTTGTTAGTGGCTTTGAACTAGCTGTCAGTAAATGCGAGTACTCTCAGATCTGTACTTAAGTGTCTTTTTGTTGTTTGGATGTACAACTACCCGGCCTCGTCCACTTGTATTTGTATTTATCCATCTGATGAGTTAAGCCTCTTTCAACTGATTTTTATAGTTCATTCTTATATTGTACTGTTACACCACTGTCCCAGGTTAGGGGGTGGGTTGGGATCCCGCTAACATGTTTAACCCCGCCACATTCTGTATGTACATGTATGTGCCTGTCCCAAGTCAGGAGCCTGTAATTCAGTGGTTGTCGTTTGTTTATGTGTTGCATATTTGTTATTCGTTCATTTTTTGTACATAAATTAGGCCGTTAGTTTTCTTGTTTGAATTGTTTTACATTGTCATTTCAGTGCCTTTTATAGCTCACTGTGCGGTATGTGCTTTGCTCATTGTTGAAGGCCGTACTGTGACCTATAGCTGTTAATTTCTGTGTCATTTGGTCTCTTGTGGAGAGTTGTCTCATTGGCAATCATACCACATCTTCTTTTTTATATTTACATCAACAGATATAAACAATTCACCAAAGTCAAGGTGAGACAACAAAACTTAGTTGTAAGATCTCTGAAATTTTTTACACGGTACAAGTTTTTCTAATTGTTGGAGATTGCACGGTGACAGTAACACCTGTAACTGCTTTACCCATTTCTTATGCACTTTGGTTCGATAAACTCACTGAATATCATACCACATCTCCTTATTTTTATATGCATTACAATTTACATGTGCATGTAATTGTAAATAATATTTATATATAAATCAGAACAAACTTCATTGCGTCACTTTTATTTATGCATCCTTTGGCACAAAACAAGTTCTAAAATTACACAACATAAAACAACTAAATGTTATTTCAGATGAAAGTTTTGTTTCAGTTCCATTCATAGGATTTATTAGAATTTTGTATGTTTTGCCAAGTCCAATAATTAGCTCTATGTGCACGTGTTAATTGGAGACTTTTCTATCCCGTATAAGAGTTTTGGAACTAATTCTGTTTCTTTTTTTGAAAAAAGTGAGCAAACAAATCATGCACATTTAAACCTTTGTCTGCCATCACACTGTCACCTGGATCACATAATTGAACTATTCTACATCTTTCAACTATTTCACAGTCACTGGTACAACCAACATATGCATTAGAGACATAGTTGACTAAACCACCAGGAGTCGAACAAACAAGTATTTTCAGTGTTTCTGTTTTTATATGATGAAAAGGTTGCCTAACTCTAGGAGCTTTAGGTTTTATTACGGGATATTCTGTGCTGTCAATAATAATCCAAGTTGTAGGAAACTTTAATTTGAAGTTGGATGGCGAAAAATACCTGACTAAACCACTAAATGGCCAAGTGTTAGCCTCACGCCACTGTTTAGACATAAAAACAATCCATGTTTACACAATATTCTTAACACTAGTTTCAATCTAGAATCTAGACAGTTCAAAGTTGGTTGTATAATGCCTCAATTTCATCAAAGTCATAAAAAAACTGATTTTCAAATGACACCCTATCAATTTGAAAATATATGTATCTCAAACAATGTTCTGCTGGACCAAGTGTGGTCAAAACAAATAAAAATTTAGTATACAAGTTACAACTCTAAACCGGTATATAAATGCATGGCTGTGTCACGTGTCTTCATTTCAAAATTCTCTGCTGAAAATATAGGCATTGATGGTGTTTGCGTAATTCCATCTGTGAAGCTCAACATTAGCTCGGCAGTTGGTGGTGGACAGTCATAAATCATGTCTGCAGTATGAATGACTTCTTCAGGAAAACCAACTTTACAATCAAAACTTTCCTCTAGATTTCTACTACAATATTCATCAAGTTTAGTTCTTTTGTTTTCACAGGAAACTGCCCTGATTTTTCTTTTTGCGGACGATTCAGTCTCTTGCTTGGTCCACGAAAATAGGCTGGGAATGGCAGTAGACTTAAGTCTCTGTATGGTGAGTTTGCACCCTGAAAAAGGTTATAAAACATTAGTTTTTTGATAATTAAATGAACTTTCATTAGCAATGCATACTTTATACTACCTGGCAAAATATTAACGAGATTTATTCATTACAATCTGGATAAAGATATGTTAGCCTGATTCAATGTACATCAAAATGTATGTTATGTAAATCCAAAGGACAAACAATGAGAGATGTATGCAACAAACATACATTGTTTGTACCTAAATAACTATAATATAGATGAGAGCATGTCATTGTTTTGTTCCTGTTAACATTGTCATTGACATTTTTCAAGAAAGTCTATGAGGCATAGCTTATGCATTCCTGTCATTACTACATTAGCATAATTACTGCTAAAATAATTCTCAGTATGATATACCTCTTGTAAGAAATCATTATATTTGTAGCAAGCACCAAAAAATCTCAAACAGATCACATTGAATCGTAATCCAAAAAATTATGACGTCTTGAATTAACCACCCCCTTTTATTCTAAAACGATAATTGCGGTTGTAAACAGACTTTGGTTATTTCGCATGGCGATTACATATATAACTATATATTTTAAAAAGAAAATAGAGTTTTACCATGAATAGTTTCCTGCACGTAGTCTTTTTCAGTAAAATGTGCCTTGCAAACAACAGCTGATTGAGATGGACTCCACGATTTCATCGTGTTCTCGTCCAATCTGCGTATGGGCCATAGCGTTGATCCAACTTTTCCTTCTTTTTAAGTCATTTGGAAATGCATGTCCTCCTCTTAAATGACATCCAGGTACACAACAACAAGTACTTGGCATCGTTAATTAAAAATGCAACTGTAATAGTTGCACAGTGCAGAAACCGGAAGTTGAAGAACAGGATCGGCTACCACGGCGCCACCTATTCAGGAATGATAATTTGCTACTTTATATAACTGCGAAATAACAATAACGTTAGACGGGTTCGCGTGCATTAACAGAAATGCGCTTTGAATTGTATAATATAAATCATGTTCAGTCGACCTTTAATTATTATATCAACGACTGAAATGATTTATAAACATCTAGATTGCAGATAACACTCGAAATTAACCCGACCTCTTTCCACACGGAATTCAAATAATTCTAGTTTGTCAATCGGTTGACTGCTTATAATGTAAAATACAAATACATCAAAAGTTTTTAAAACTAACAAAACACAATGATCGTTTCTCTATTTCCCAATGTAAATGAAATGAAACAAAAAACATTTTATATCACAATAAGAAGAGGAGAGAATCAACATTTTCCGGATCTACTTGGAGCCTAATGACCCCCCACATAGATAAGTTGGATATCGCGGAAAGAAAGATTAACACGGCAACTAGAAAGGCATTAAAGCACTGCCTTTAAAAACTAAAGTTTAAAAATTTTATAAACATAAAATTCTGTTGAAAAATCAATTTATAGGTAAACCGATCAGCATAATGTCCTCGCAATTTCTTGTTCAGACCAAGGGACACAGATGTCCGAATGAGTAAGAATAAACTAAATTCTTAAACAATTATATAAAGTTAAATGTACCACAAGCACATTTTGATAGTATAATAAGAGGTTTTCTTGTGTATTTTCTATGTTCTGGAAACTTCAACATCCCATCAAAAATACTTAAATTAAAGTCATAAGTTTTATAACTTAAATGTTATTTTTTTAAATATAATTTGCACATTGTACCTATTGTTTTCGTATATTTATTTTTCGCCATGCATTAGTTTAATGCTTACTGTGACTTCTAAATACATAGATATAGTGTGTTAAATAGATCGATTTATAAACTTTGTACGCGAATTATTTTGATATCCTAATGATAATCAATTATTTTTCTTTTGACAGCACTTATATTTTGTTGATTGTTCAATATATCTTTATGGTATCCGGCATTTATATACATATACATGCATAATGATAATCCCTTGGATATATTTTAGTTGGTTGATTGTCGGTTGTTTAATGTCCAGTGTAAATTATTTCATACATTTCTACGAAGAAAGAGTTTCTCATTTCTAGGATGAAATTGATATTTTGTGCAAAATGTAATTTAAAGTACATTGCATTAACTCCGTGTTTCAAAGTCAAACAAGTGAATTATTATTTTTCTTTATATTTCTTTAAGACAAAAAAAGAATATCCATATAATTCAAATCTGGTTTGGATTTGTTTTGTGCTCAATAGAATTTACTACGACAAATCAAATGTTGTTGACAATTTTGGGATCAAATGATATTTAGGTATGTGCTAAACAGGGACACAATAAACTGGTAAGTTGAAGACTTCTTGTCTAGTAATACATTTCTTGAACGAGTGAAATTCTGAAATATCTTTTTATTAATTATCTCTATTACGATAGCCTTTTTGTGAAAAAAAGTACGATTTAATTTCAAATTGTATGAAGTAAGATTTATTCCCCTATTTACAATTAACTCGTTCTTGTCCAATAATGAATTCCTCGAACGACCAGAGTTTGAAAAAGGAAATAAGATTTGAATTTCTCATCAACATTTCTCCTTAATTTTCAAGAAGCAAGATTTTGTTTTGTATCGTCATTCATCGTAGGACATGAACTAATTTTAACCGAAGAAGCTCTTTGGTCCGGTTGTTGTCTCTTTGACACATTCCCCATTTCCATTCTCAATTTTATGATGCATACGGGCCCAGAATTAAAAGCCTGGAAGGAATTTAGATAATCTCCGTTTTCCTCTCAGTTTCTGTCATTTATCATATTTGGGTATTTTTCTAATAAGTAAAATTAAGTTTTTCGCGAATCATTTTCTTATCACACTCCGTTCGTGCAGTGTGATACGAGAACTATGTATCTACATGCAAGAAATATATACATGTAACAGACAAAGATTATACGAGGAAACTGAAAAATGCATTTTTTTCTTCATAATTGTACAAATAAACAACGCATAAAGTAAACATGAAACAATTCCGCAACAACTGAAAAATAACGTATAATGTGTGTAATTTAATTTTACTCAAAACACTGTTTTAATAAAAATGATATAATATTCATAAGCAATAAGGATAATCCAATCAATTTTGTTGATTGGATAATTCACGGATTAATAGTTGTGTAATCAGTGGCACGTGCCCTCAATATTTTATAAAATAAATTAGATACCTCTCGAAGTTAAATATCAAAATTTTCCAAAATAACAACTGAAAAAAAAACCGTTCAACGAATATTTACATTCGTCATGTGTGCATATTCGAGTCATGAGTGCACAAAAACAATTTTTCGACAAAAATTGATAGCAAGTTATACTTTAATGTTCATGACTTATGAGTATTTTTCTTGTTAAATTTCTAGTGAAATTGATTGTTGAGCGTTTTTTTACAAAAATACAAATACCGAAAAAAAGAATATTGGGTAAACGTAAATGGACAACAACCCAACGAGAAAAATAAAATTTTAAATAAAGTAATAATATAAGTTTACAAATACGTACTATGTGCATTTAATAAATCAACGTTTGAACTTATCATTATCATTTTATTTTATTTGTAATTTTATTTTTATGTATATTTAATGTTACCCGATATGGAGTCCTCTTAAAGATAAAATTCACTTGAATTGGTATTTCTGGTGTATATATGTTACAGGGAATTTGTAAAATCAGGGATTTTGTAAAATCACTGGACTAATCAGTGATTTTGTAAAATCGCTAACAGTTTCAGTGGTTTTGAAATTGTCTTGGATTTTACAAAATCACTGAAAATAGAGCTAGGGATTTTGTAAAATCCCTGATTACAATTAAGTATAACTTGATATTAGAAATGTGTTTTTCTTAATATAAAAATAGAGTTATCATCACTAATGATTTTGAAATATAGTTGTTTAATAAACACTATGAGCTAGAACTAGTGTATAATGATAATGACTAAAAGGCATATAAACGGATATTTAGACCACTGTAAATTTACTTATTTTTGCATGGCAAGTTTGGGTGACATCTATTGTTACATAATTGCCCTGCTTTTCGATGCATGTCTGTATCAAATCAACCAAAGTAAAACTTTTTTATTTTTGCTTGGTTAGAACCTATTCATAAACATGCAAGTAAAAAACAAAGTATTCTTACCTATATTTTCTGTTGTCTTTTTTTATTATTATTTTGTGAATATAAATGTTATTTTGTAGACAGCAAATTAATGATACAACACTCATTTGCTTTTTATATATCAATTTTCATGCAGCAATAAGATGCTCTTGCTCTGAAAATGCATGTAATATTTGCCACTGGATCACATACCCTAACCCACTCAATTTCTTATACCTAACATATGTGTTTTTCTTCTTTTATGACAGCAATCAACCTAATGATCCGTTTTTATATTTGATTTTTAAAATTAGATATAATTGGTTTTATTTTTTACAGTAATTACAGAAAAAATATAATAAACAATAACTTTCTTTCAAACAAGGTAGTGATAAGAGCTTGTTTTGTCTTCTTTCTGCGGCTCATTGACAACATGTTCCAACATTTCATCATATTTTCCCCGGTTCCATATGTTGCACTTTAATTTTACCTCAATTATTTGAAGTAATTTTTGTTTGTATTTTTGCTCTTGATTTAAAGACATCTGTACCTGAGCCTTTTTCTACAGTATGTCAGTTGTATAGTGCATGCAAACTGCTCACTTAGTATTAAAATAAAGGCTAGGTTAACCTCAAACTTATTGAGTGTTACAATTGTAGGCTTTTTTCACAGAAATTCTTAATAAAAATGAATGAATTTATTTTACCAATTCCCTGAATTTAATTCAGTGAATCTGTAAAAAAAATCTTAATTATTTCAGGGATTTTGTAAAATCACTAGTTAAAATCAGGGATTTTATAAAATTACTAATCAGTTCAGTGATTTTACAAATTCCCTGAAATTTCAGTGATTTTACAAAATCCCTGATTTGGGCAAAGTCAAAATAAATGGTCCAAATTTATTTTTTTTTACCAAATTTCAACATTGTTTTAGTGCATTTTCTTTTAATGTATTTTGATACATATACATGTAAGTTCATGAATCCAAAAGGATATAAAAAAGTATAAAGAAATAAAAAAGTTCTGAAACTTTAATGACATAAACCAATAAAAAAAATTTAAATCAAGTATACATTTTTGGAATATGATTTCAGACGAACACTATCAAATATTTATAATTTTTTCACCCCAATTGTTTGCAGAGATCCAAACATTACTTTTGATGCATAGATTATTAATCTCCTCTTTGATTATAATTTTTTTTTTATGTTTTTGACTATTTTTTGTATCAATTCATTTAAAGATGATTGAAAAAGTTTTGATTAAAAAATAGTTCATCAATTAGTTGATAAAAAAACTTCTCCATATTAGAATTAACCCTTTTTCAAATTCACTGAGAACACAAAATTGATTGATAAATCTTTTTATAAAGAAGATATAGCAAATAGAAAATACATCAAATTTCCCCTGTTTTTGTTGCACTCCTGACATATTATACACCAAACAAAAAATACATAAACTAGAACATATACTCATGATTTTTTAAAATTTGTAATCATTGCTAGTTTATAAAGACCTAATTCTGTCATTTGAATGTTATTTCTATTTTAACTTATGCATCTTATGCACTTCAGATCATATTTAAATAGATTTTTCTGACACATTATTATTAAAATGGGGTTAAGTTACCAAACTATGAACTAAATTCTATTAAATAATCAGCAGAATTGTTGTTTGACAACTTAAAAAGAGATCTGCAATTTTTAAAGTTTTTCTGAACTACTATTATTTTTTAAAATTATTACCTATACAAGGTACTTTATTTCTCCTATTTTGTTGCACTCCTGACACTCAGTATATATCATATCAAAACAGTTATACATCATCAAAATAGCCCATGATTTCTAGATTAAGTGTATATACCTTTCAGATTTAACGTTTTAATTT